GCCAGCACAGTCCTTTTTGTGCGAAAGGAAAGCGACTTCGGGCTCAGCATCATGTATATTGGCTGCTACATTTCCTCTCTATTGGAAAAATCCCAGCTTTAGTTTTAGCCCTGCAATTTTCAGCCTAGCCGACATAAATTCCTGGACTTCTTCAAGATTTATGCGGATATTTTTTTTTTCTACTATCGGTCACTGATCCGGATCGAAACACCAATGGAAACTGGTATCCTTTTTTTAAGACAATAATATACTGCATGTGGTCTAAAATTATTATTTTGGGGAGTCATACAAAATGTGCACACATGAAAAACTTCCAACCCTGCTCGAAAGAGAACAAATGGCAACAGCATTTAAACAACTTCCCTAGTTATCATTGTTGTTGTTGGTCTTGTTTTTGTTCAGTATCTGTTTTGCATTGCATTGTCAAGACCTTTTTAATTCTTTTGTCATTACATTTGCAAGCACGGATCGACCAACCGACCGGACGCAAATATTATGGAATTCGAGCATTTGTAATGCAAAATTAACAAATACACTTTTCTCTCTGGAGATGCATTGTACTCTCTATCACTCATTGGCAGTGAGTACATTTCTATTGTGTTTGTGTGAAAATTGAGTTGTTTTGTTTTATTTCCTTCAACAAAGAGACAGTGGGAGAGAGAGAGAGAGCACGAAAAGGGGAATGCATACGCACTTCCCCTTCAAATACACACACTTACATTTATTTATTTCTATGTACTCATGCATTTATTTTCTTTATCATACCGTTGAACTCGATAAAGGTTCAAAAGCCCATATTATTATACACACCAAGATAACATGAAAGGTAGCTAGGTATTGGCTTTAAGGTAAAGTTAATCTCGAAACTTATTCGGCCGTGTATTTCGACTTAAAACATTGCTTGCTATAAAACATGTTGTGGTTGTTGACTCCTGTACTAAGCAAGTGCCGCATGGATTTTGCCATCATCACTGCTTTGACTAATGCTTAGAGTGTTATGTCTTTTGTTTCTTCGTGTTGCCAAAATTGTGTAAGGTCAGGTTTAGTTCAGTTTCCTTCGCTGTATACGAATATGTTATACAGACTGCATAGAATGTGTGTGTATACATTCTGATTGTTGGAAAAAACTTGTTATAATGAGGGTGAGTACCTAAACCTTCCCAGTCAATTGTCTAAGGAAACTATCCAAATTTTGGGAAGTATTTTTACATTCGAGAATCGGAATTTATTTAGACATTGATAATGATAAAATTTTAGAAATAATTACTTTTTTCTAATTTCTAATAGAAATGATTTTTTTGAGGGTATCGATTTCAGGATCTTTCATATCATCACCACTGTCCTAATATGGCGCCCAATAGACTCACTGTAAGTCTTGGCTTACTGTGTTTTGTATTTGCTTTAGTCAAACTCATAACCTGGTCCCAGGAATGCCGTTTTCCTACATGATGTCTATGTCTAGCTCGCCATCGACTTAATGGATCCGCAAGATATCTGTAGCCGCCCAAAGGTTGTTTCTGATTTATATGTATTGTCCTCACTGTTTTTATTCTTAAAATATGGAAGATACATCAATCCATTAATGTGGCAGCATATTGTGACAAGATCACTAGCTATAATGTAGCTAATCTTTGTACCCATGCTTATGAGTTTAGGAACTGCCTTAATTTGCGATACTCCACTTAAGTGCAGGGCTAATGACTTGACTGCACCACGTTGGCGCCCAATTGACAGATTTTTTTTAAACAAATATGAAATATTTCACTGTTTACCTTGTCGTAGAAAAATCATCAGAATTCCGATTATAGACAGGTACCGTTGAATGGCAGCTATAGAAGAACGCGAATAAATATTCAGTGCACTGCAATCACTCAATGAAAAAAGACGCATTGTCTTTTTGAAAGATCCTAGTTTAACATTGGTCCTTCGAGCCGGATAGTGGAGAAAAAAGATGTGGAAGAATTTGCCTTAACTTCGATGAAATTCCGCCAGGTAGGTAGTTGTCTTCAAGAGTGGAAAATTATAGGGCTAAGACTATAGTTGGAATTGCTCCTATAGAGAGGAAATCTATCAACCAATAAAAATGATGCTGAGTCAGAAAGAGACTTCTGTACTGAAGACTGTGGTGGCGGTGTACATACACACTTACCGAAAGGGGCTTCATATCTGAGATCTTCAAACAGAAGGCGTGAGGATATAAGTTAATATACCCGGCAGAACGTGTCGGTGAAATTACCCTCATTGACGAAGTTGGAGAAAGGACTCCACTACACTACTACTGGAGTCGTACAATACCTGCAATGAAGTTGGGCACAAAATGAAGAAATGACACTATGACTCCAACTAAAAGGAAGATCCATGCTTAAACATTACAAATTGGTTACTTCTGTCTAGAACACAAGACATACAAGCGATGTCTCAGCAAACAGACGGTACGCTATTGCACGTGAACGAGGCTTTATCGTGGCAGACGGGTGATGCTTTGATTCTTTGAAGGTTGAAGATGTTAAAGTGAGAGTACATAAATGTGAGAATACATAAAACATTTTTGTTGACTGACTGGCTTCTTCGTAGAAGAAAAAAGGAATTTTAGAGTGGCTTAGGTCGATTTTAGCCCTACGCTTCTTTGTTATTTCCGAAAAAGCCAGCCGATGACTTAAGCAAATCTAAAAAGCGTTTTATGTATTCTCACCTTTAAAAAAAAGAATATACACAGGACGAGGCTTTAGCTATAGAAATAGCCGTGTCTAACAAATATGTCCAGCTACGAGTTACAACTACGAGCAAAGAACATAAAGCTTGTAAGTAGCCTGAAGGTGGGAATACATAAAGGGCTTATTTGCTGGCTTCTTCGTAGAGGCTCCTTTGTTTGAACGTTAAGGGAGACTTAAAATTGAAGGATCATGTGAATAAATATAAATGCCGTGTCATACAAAATCATGTGCAGGAACTCAAGCCCAAATTGGTGGCTGCTGAGGAGAGAGCACGTGCAGTAATAGTTCAAACATCTCAACGTAAAGTCTTTGTAGGAAGAAGTAAAATTGCTTTCGAAGAGGTCGACTTCTTCGGAGAAGACTGTGGTGCAGCAAATGCAAAAGTTGACTGCAAAATTAATCAAAAACTCCAGCAAATACGAACGGGTTGGAGAAGAAGACGCCGTTACTGAAGTTTAAGTACTTGAGAAAGAAAAAAATCAAGTTCCGAAGAGTTGAGGGGCAGCTCTCAAGCACTGAAGAATCGAGAATCCTATTAACGTGGAAACGGAACATGGCAGAAGTCAGGGATCATATGTACGCCAGCGAAATGAAGACGAAAAAAAAATGGCCACCTACTACGCTAGAATAAAAACATGCTGGAGGAAGCTCATATTTTAAGGAAATGAAGATGGAGGTCTTGCAGCTTGAAAATCGTAGGCTGGAGTAACAGGAAATTATATACAATTGCAACGCTGGAACCATAAACTGTTCAAGGTCTGTAATTGAAATTGATCTCATTTTAACACTGTAAATATCGAAATATATATTATTCCGTTAGAAAATGTGGCAAAAATCTTCATAATACCGAATATGGGGATATACAATTATATGTGGCGCAAATGAGAATGTTGACGGATATAGTTCATCTTCGAACTTGGCCTGTCTGCTGACAAAAGACAACTCAATGCAAAATCTTAGATATGTTTAATGGTCTGTTCCAGAACTGCAAAAATTTAAAAGTTTTTAACTACGATAACCGATTTTCCTCTTATAATATCGGATAAAATAGCGAAACTAGTATATTCTTGTAGGTTCTGGAACATAACATAATATTTTACGTTGATCCAGAAAATATATATTTAGTTGGGTCTAAAATTATTATTTCGATGAGTTACGAACGGAATGAAAAACTTAATATACCCTCCATATGGTGGACTTTATATAAAAGAAAATAAACAGAAAAAACTTGCCCTGTTAGAATTTGCCATGGTAGAATCAAGAAGGTAAAGTCATTTCACATAAGAATTCCCAGGTCTGCATTTTCTGTAACTTGTCAAATTTAATTGCATAGAAAATAGGTTCCCTTCTCTGATTTGTGTATATACAAAGGCTTTGTAAATAAAAAAAATGGCAATGAAATGTTGTCGCGTATATAATTTTGAAAAATTTTAAATAAATTTGTTTTGTTCTTGTACCTATAAGAATCTACTAGTTTTGCAATTTTCTTCGATATCATAAAGGGAAAATATGTTATAGTAGAAGAAATGTTTACATTCTTGCAGTTCTAGAACAGACCAATGATTTCATGACTTTACCTTCTCAGTTCTATCATGGAATTCGCAAACTCTGAGTTGAAGAATGTTCAAAATTTATATTTTGAATCGCATTTTTTTTGCATATTTTTTGGTCTAACAGACTACTTCTAGTCTAATAAATTCTTGCAGGTACTGGAACAGATCAATTGTTACAAATATTAGGGTAAACAGACAGTCTTAATGCCAAAATTAAAGAGCTATACTTCGAATTTGTTACATCTGGCAATCATGCTGCTACGCTTACTCGAAATTGCAATAATAGTTTGTGTCATCTTATTGGACGTAGTAGTGCCAAACTATTCATTAAACAGGAAGAAAACTCCAAAACATGCTTAACAAATTTTAAATTTGAAGGATTTTTTCTCAAAAAAATAACAGATTATACATTTTTATTAATCGAGTTATTTCACTTTATATCGATAAGTACGAAAATCGATCTACGTATCCCTAGCCCCCAGCAAAAAGAAAAACATACGGTTTTGACAATTCAATTATGTTTAATTTTCAGCTAGAAACAACCCACCTCGGTTGCCGGATTGAAAGTGTTTCGTATTGACCATATTACAGAATAGTTCCAAATTTTTAAATAAAAAACTTTGCTTAAAAAAATTAGAACCGGTAAATTTCATTTTATATCGATAACTATGAAAATCGATCTACGTATCCCTAACACCCAGCAGTGAACTAAAAAACATACGGTTTTGACAATTCACTTGTTTTTGATTTTCAGTCAGAAACGACGAACGTCGAGACGTGCCGTATTGTTGGGTAAAGGAGGTGTTTCATATCGACCATATTGCAGAGTATTATCAAAATCCTAAATAAAAAAACATGGCCTCAATATTGAGAACCGGTAAATTTCTGCGATATTTTGCTGGTTTTACGCGAAATGTTGTCGTGAATACGGTACGTGAGCCGGATAGCAGCTCTCTGCTTCAGAATACCACATGCTTGTGCACACAATTCCAAAAGTAAGTATACGCCAAGCACTCCCGGCAAAGCTTACGCAATAGAATATTGAAATTTTGAAATAAGAGTTCGTAATATTGAATGAATGAGTTAATTTTTTACCAAAAAATGCTATGTTTAATAGATAAATTCAAAGTATTTAAAGTAGTTTAGGTGATTTTCAATTGTGCCGTAAGATGTTGGCTACTGTGATCCATCACCCAATGACATAACCTCAAAGTGAAGAAAAAACGAAATTTATTTTTCATTGTTTATTTTGAATGAATTTGTTTTTAGTGGCTTTGCCAATGGTCCAGCCGCAGCACTCAAAGCTGATCTCAGTTTGGACAAACAGATCAAACGATTGGATCAAGATGTTCGCCGCATGGGACGTATATCGCGACGAGATATTGAAGATGTTCTGGAAGAGATTCGTACCCAACGCTCAGCTACCAGTTCTCAGTCGTTGTTGGTCATCAGATGCTGCGGCAATTTGGTACCCGAGGAATTGCCTGAAGTTCGTACAGCATTGGTACAGGAAATATGGAAGACATTGAATGCCCTGAATGTGCCCATGGATATTTCGCACTACAATGCTCTGTTGCGTGTCTATTTGGAAAATGAACATGAATTTTCCCCGGCAGATTTTCTGGCTGAAATCGAATCAAAGTCAATTGAACCAAATCGTGTGACATACCAACGTTTGATTGCACGTTATTGTCAGCAAGGAGATATTGATGGTGCCACCCGTATTCTGGAGCATATGAGAGCGAAAAACTTACCCGTCAACGAGGCCGTTTTCAATTCATTGATTTTGGGACACTCACAGGTAAATAAATGAGCGATTTTCAAAAAGATTTCTTTATGTAATTCTATTTTTTACCATTCATACAGGCCGGTGACATGGAATCAGCCAAGGGTATTTTATCCGTTATGAAACAAGCTGGCTTGGAACCCAGTGCTGACACCTATACCACCTTGCTGTGCTGTTATGCCAAACATGGTGATATGGAGAGCATCAACAACACATTGGCTGAATGTGAAAAGAATGAAATTCTACTGCTGGACAAAGATATCCTTGATGTTATTTATAATCTTGCCGTTAATGGTCATGGTGATAAAATTGATGGTCTTCTAACGAAATTCCATCGTTCGGCTGGTTTCAATCAGGATTGTGCCAATATCATTTTGAGATTGACCAACAATGGTTATGAGGATGTGTGCCTGAAATTGTTGCGCATAATGCCACGTGGCAATCGTCCTGATGGTACACCCGTGGATGTGGGTACATTTTTCATACGCCAATTGGTAAAGGCAAATCGGCCGGTGGAGAAGATTTTGTCCGTTTGTAAGGTTTTGCAAGATGAAGGTAAGTGGTTACAAAAATATTTTGGAATATTGCCGTTAATGTAACGCTTTCCTTTATAGGTTTAAATACCAAAGCTCTTATGGTGGCCACCGAGGCTGGCCTCACCCATGGTTTGGTCAACAGCACATTGCCTTTGTTAACGGAAATGAAAAATGCCGGTATACCTGTTAGACAGCACTATTTCTGGCCCCTAATCTGCTCCGTGGAACCAAATCAAATTGTTGGCATTCTCCGGAAAATGCAGGAAGAATTCAATATGCCACCATCAGCGGAAACCATACGTGATTATGTTATACCCAACCTCAAGGAGAAGAATTCCGATAAAATCATTACCCTATTGCGTGACGTTGGCGTGGCAAATGGCACAGCTGCTGCTGCTACTTGTTGTGCTGCTCTTGCCAACAATCAAATCAAAGAGGCGGCAACCATAATGGAAAACTACAATGCCACCTATAATATCCAAACCTTCCGCCAGCCTTTGATTCAAGCATTTGGCAAGGTGCAAAACTATGATGCATTTGTTCAGTGTGCTCGCCAGCTATATGAAAGTGCCCAAAAGAAGTCGCCAAATGCCACCACCTCTGCTGGCACAAAGTCCGAACAAACTAACGATGAAGCCGAAACCGAAGAACTAGACTTGCCGATCGACAATAAAGGAGGCGTTGATGTTGTAGGGGATTTAGTTGTGGATGTTACCTCATATTTCCGCACAGATCGTGTAAAGGTTTTGGAACGTTTATTGCCAAAATTGGTACAAACTGGTTTCACCATAAGCAATCAAAATGCTGAGAAGATATCTGATAAACTGGGCTCAGAAATGACAACTGCCATATCGGAAAATTTGGGTAAATTGTCTTCGGGTGAATTGGAATTGGTTCCATTGAAGAATGCTCCCAAAAAACGTGGCCTAGAATCATTGACGGTAGAAGGTAGGATATACTCTAACAATTTTAAACTATTCTTAATACAATTTGTGTTTGTTTCCTCATTTAGAACTTGAACGTTTCATTTCCAATTTGGAAGCCAAGGGTGAAAACACAAACCACATTAAACGCCATTTATTGAATGCCTGTTTCCGCAGCAAGAAACTTGAAAAGACATTGGAAGTTTTCGAACGTTTACAAAAGGAAAATTACAGCATGGGTTCCGGTATATATGCCCAATTGATTGATTTGTACACCTATCATGAACGTGTATCTGATGCCATTGAAACTTACAATAAAATTAAGGCTAAGGAACCGGAATTCCGTTTGGATAACCTTAAAACAGTTGGTATTGTTGAGGTGCTACTCAAAGAAGAGCGCTTCGATGATGCTTTGAAATTTTTGGATGAGAACAAAAAATCCCAACCTGTAGACGAGAGTGAAAATAACTACACTAATGCTTCTAAAGTTTGGCGTATATTAAACGGTTTGGCTGAAACTGGAAATGCCGATAAATTACAGAAAATGTTCGATGCCTTTGTCAAGGGTAACTTTATTCTACCCACAAATGTTATCTTGGGTCCATTGATTAAGGTAAGGAGGGAAATGGGAATGAACAAAATGGTGTAGAACAATTTCTAATGATTTTCATTTTTAAATATATTCAGGTCCACTTAGTCAACGACAACATACCCAAAGCCATGGAGGCCTTTGAAAAACTTTGTGACGAATACAAATCAACGCCTTGGAAAAATGAATTGGCCCGTCGCCTTATTCAGGCAGAAGATGCCAACAATTTGCAGAAACTCACCGATCTCAGTACCAATATACATGGTGAAATCAACAGTCTTTACGATTTGGTATTCTCATTTGTGGAATGCGGTCGTGTTAGACAAGCTCGTAAAATTTTGGAAACACCTGGCTTGCGTACTAGACCACATCGTATTGACACAGCCTGTGAACGTTACAAGAAAGAGGGTATGGTAGAACCATTAGAGGGCCTAATCGAGGCCACTCGTGATCTTAACCACATCGATCGCAATAAGATCTATTATAGCCTTTTGCAAAGTTATTGCAAGACTGAGGATACAGACAAAGCTTTGGGTTTGTGGACCAAGATGCAAGAAGAAAACATTACACCCAATGATGATTTCCTTGTTAAATTGGCTGAGCTATTGGAATCCAAGAATATTCCAGTACCATTTGTGGTAGAAACTAAACAGACAAAACGTAAATCGAAAATTGCCGCCGTAGCAAAGGCGGCTGAGGAGTCTGTTAAAAAGCCTGTAACGGCAAGCGAAAAATCTGCAAAGAAACCAGAAGCAGTCGCTAAACCCGCTGAACCAAAAACCCCCTCCAATATTTCTCTGCTACGTAAAGCGCTGAAAAACAATGATTTGGAAGCTGCCCTTGAAGCCAAAAATAAATTGAACGCCAACGAACAACCCTCTCTAATGGATACTTCACATTTGATTGAACAGCTGGTGCGTGCAGGACGCCTAAGCGAAGCCACAAAATATGTCAATGAAATGTTGGCCTCTAAATTGTATCCCTTACCCAAAGTTTTCAAATTCTATTTGAATCGTATTGCCAACAGCGGTGACTTGGAGACAATGCAAATGATTGGACAACAGCTCAATGAGGAACAGAAACGTGTAATTTCCTTTGACAATCGTTATTGCCATGCCAATATTGTGGCCGGCAAGGGCGAACAATATTTCAAGAAATTAAGTGATGATCTTGCTGCCACCAAAACACCAGAAGAAGTTGCCAAATTGGCTGAGACATTCCCTCGTGGCGGTGCTTTGGGTATTTTGGACAAACATCCCGAACTGGAGGATCAATGTAAGTTAAATAAAAAAATCTAAGCGATTGTTAATCATATATCTATTTTCTTTTCGCAGTCCAAAAATTGGCCGAAAGCTATGCAAAACACAATCAATTGGGTCCCATGAATGTCTTGTGGATTCATCACATTTCCAAGGGCAACGAAGCCGTTTCGAAATCGATCTGGGAAAAATATCTATCCAGTGCACCACGTTTGATGTTCCAACGTGTTCTACAAACCGCTCGCGACCAAAACGATGATAAGCTGGCCGAAAGTGTCATTAGTCAATTACGTGATTCGAAAATTTCGGAAGGAGCCATTGGTAATGCCTATTCCTGTTTAATCGACATCCAAACGGCTAAAGGCAATTCAGGCAAAGCTTTGGAAACCCTTAAGACCGCCATTAAGGATGTGTGTTTGGAGCACATAAACCGTACTGCATTGTTGCGTCTCAAAACTGCTTTGGAAGCCGAAAAGAAAGAATTCCCCTATACCATACCCGAAAAGAAGGCAACTACCAAGGGTCAGTCATCTTCATCGTCTTCGTCGAGCAGTGACGATGATGTTTCACCAAAACGACCCGAAACTAGACCTACAAAACCATCTCAAAAGGATGCCTAAAATGCTTTAATCTAAGTTTTGTTTTTAAAAGTAGTAGTTGTTATAATTAATAATTTTCTTTATCTATTTTTTTCATTATACATTATGTATAATTTATGCATTAAAAATAACGCTATGTAATTGCTAAGTATTGTTTTCTTTTTTTTTCTGTTATTGAAAAAAATATAATAATAATGATAATATAATTTAAAAAAAAATCATTTCAAAAAGATGTTTTTAATAATTTAATGGAATATGGAAGGACACAGTAGCTGAGGTGAATGCCTGGTTGTGTTTGTTCGCAACACACAATTTCGAATCTCATGATTTAGAGTTCTTCGGGCTTTGTAACAAATCTTTCTAACATTAATAAGTTCTCCATTTCGTTAAAATGATAAGCTTATTCAATCTTGCCTTTAAGATTCTTCTGAGTCAACTCAACCTGTGTACAAAATCTTGCAACATCCCAAGCCTTGAAAACACTGTGGAACATATGTATAACACACTGTGTAAACTATGTTTCGTCCGATACTTTATAACAATGATGCTTGGTATACATTTCCATCTAACTTGATATAATTGATATGCCAACCTTTGGTCTCTTCCAGAACTGCAAGAATCTGAGAGTTCTTTGCCACGATAACCGATTTTCCCTTTATGATATTGAAGAAAATTGCAAAACTAGTAGATTTTTGCAGTTTTTGCAACAGAACACTTGGTAGATTGTCTAATTATGTCAAATTTCAGTTTCAGATCAAGGCCCGATTAGTTCTGCAAAATTTGGAACGCATTCATATATTCAGGGTGCGATAAAAAAAACTGCAACAAAGTCAAAAGCCATAATTTTTACATTTTTTAATTTTGTTGAATGAAAGCAAAAAATGTCGGAAATAGCATCAAATTTTAGAATAAGTTTAGATTTGTTCAAATTGGTCACCTTTGGTACGAATTATGGAATACGACCAATGATACCATCACACGGTGCCCGAATGTTGCTCTGCGGTATTTTGGGCCATTCCCGGCGAAGCACATGCTTGGGGTGATCGACACTTTGGTATTTTTTAGTGCCAACCTTGCTTTCTAAAATACTCCAGACACAATAGTCCAACGGATTGGTATCCGGATGTTTTGGTGACCATGGTGCGCTGGAAATGAAGCAGGGAACCTCATTTTGTAACCATTCTTGGGAGGCGCGTGCTGAGTCTGTTGGAATGTCCAAGGCCACAATGTTTCCCTGCCTAAGGCTTAAATACATTCTCCAGAATATTTTCGCGGTAATATTCGGCATTTTTTCTAATGCCACGGTCGATTAATACGAGTGGAGAGCGACCATCGGCTGTTATGGCGGCCCACACCGTCTCCATGGCCGGCCCTTGAGTTCTGGTGGCCAACCGAAGATGACCTCCTTGGCAAGTAAACACGATCATTTTTTTTGTTTACAAACTACTAGACAACGAATGTTTTCTCATCGGAGAAAACCAAATTCGGCAGTTCACCATTTTCGGCCAAACGAAGCAACACTTTAGCTCTTTTGAGTCTAATTTCTTTCCGCTGCGGTGTAAGTTCTTGTACTTTTTGGAATTTTAACGGCTTTACCCCAAGCTCATTTTTCAATATTTCAATATTGACCACATACACAGTAGAATTTATTTAATTTTACGTAAATTGTATTCTATCAGCATTTATTTACCCTTATGGGTTAGGATAAAAATTGCTCGAGCACTTATGATGCCGCATATGTTGTATGCATTAGAAATTATTTCTGGAACATCAGAATATAATTTTCACAAATTTGAACTAGTCTTGAATATGATTGTAAGATTTGTTTATAATGTTCATATTCGGGAGCATATATCAAATTTTGTTACAAGTTTTTTAGGATCTTCGTGGCGAAAATATGTGAACTTAAGGAATGTAATATATTTTTACAGGGTTATTAAAACAGGTATACCTTTTTCGTTATGCACATTGTTTACTTTTTCGCAATCTAGTAGGAGCCCTCAGATCAATATACCTCTAATTCATAATTCCTTATTTGAGAAATCATATGTCGTGCGTGTTGCGCGATGTTGGAACTACCTCCCAATTATTCTGCGTATATTTTCACACTCAAACAATGCCTTTCGGTTAAAATTAAGTGAACATTTTTCTGTAATTTAATATTTTTATATTTTGTTGCTAATGGACCATACAACCTTTCTTTCATCAACATGTGCTTTATTTAGTAGATCAGGCTGGGGAGCCAATATCATTAAATTAGTTTACATTATCAGGATTATTGTAATGCTTTGTAATACTTTATTTTAGGCCATGAAGGCTTCTGTGTTACAAGTGAAGATATAAATAAATAAATAAATAAATATTTGCCAAATGGAATATTGCGATATGTTCAGCACACGAGTCATTTTTCGGCCACTGCGACGCGGGTTTCGTACAAGTCGTTTCTTTCATTTCACACCATTTCTGCTGATGTTGCTGTTTTCTTCTGTCCACTTCCTTGACATCCGGCTATGCTACCAGCATCACGGCAACGAGCGATGGAACGATACACAAAAGATTTATTCACATTTAAATGCTGGAGTGCTCTAACGATAGCCACTTGCGGTTTCCAGCCAAATATAAAGAAATCACACTATCTCGCTTGAATTGCATCACGAATAACTTTTTTTCTGAAAAATGCTCACCAGAATGCTTTTGTACGCTTGTAAACAATATAATGAGCTGTCACTGGAATAATTTTGGCAGCTGTCGGACGAGTGGCTTAGAAATGACAGCAGTCTGAAGTTGGTTGCAGTTTTTTCATCCCACCCTGTATGTAGCTTTCATATACATTTTTAACCGTTTTTATCCATGCCTTCTAATTCATTTATATCATTCATTTTATGCCCACTATAGCAATGATTTTTACTATAGCATAAGAAGAATTCTGTCAAATTTAGTGGGAATTATATGGCTCCTATATACAATGTTGGTTCCATGGGATTTCTAAAGCGGACCCATACAAAAGCATTCTATTCCAAATGAAACTTCCACTAGCGGTTAACATTCCGATTATTATAACCAAACTAACAAAATATCGATTATTCGATTTTCTTTTAACCAACGCCGATTAGTTAAAAATCGACTTACATATCCCTACTGTGTGCTGTTGGCGGAGATATTTTACTTGGGACTCGAAACGTTTTGTGAAGATATTAGGAAAAGAAATCTAGAAAAACCACGGCCATGACTGGCAGTCAATCTGAAAATAACACCTCCACTTCGTCAAATTCTTCGGAGGATACTAATAACGACTCACGAAATGAAAGCGAAACAAATGCTGACAAAAATGTGGTAGAGACAAAAACAACGTCTGACAACAACAACAAAATGATGAACGCCGCCGAGACCGCTGCCAATGAGGAGAAGAATGGACGCCAGAAAAAGGAAAAATCAAAAACACCTTCAAAAGAGGACAAGAAATCACGGAAAAAGAAAAGTGAGTCCAGTTCTGAGTCTTCATCGTCTTCTGATTCCGACTCGTCGGAGTCCTCAAGTAGTTCAAGTGATGGCGAAGTATCTACCAGCTCCGGTTCATCGTCAGACAGTGAGAAGGTTAAAAGTAAAGTCAAAAACAAATCCAAAAGTCCATCAGCACAAAGGGAAGTAGTCCAAAAGGAAACAGTTACAGATACGCCTGATAATATATCCAAGGAAACACAAGAGAAGTTGGTTGAAGATATTCCTAAGGAGAATGAATTGAATGTAAATTTGGCAAAGGAAGATAGCGTTAATGCCAAGCAAAATGACACAGAGGCTTCAAATGAGAACGTAGCGGAAGAAATAACAAAACCGCCTCAGAAGCAACCTGACACTGAAGAAGGTGAAATTACAGAAAATAATGAAAAAAATTCTTCAACGAGATCTCCTTCCAAAGAAAAACAACTGTCCGCCAATAGAAGCCGTTCTAGAGAAAGAAGAAGTCATTCTGGAGACAGTAGAGGAACTCATTCAGGAGACAAAGGAAGTCCTTCAAGACTTAAAAGAAGTCCTTCAAGATCTAAAAAAAGTCCATCACGTTCTAAAAGGAGTGTATCAAGAAACAGAAGTTCCTCCAGACACGGCCGAGATTCATCTAGGAACAGACGAAGTGTTTCCGGCGATAAGGAGAACCAACTAAGACGGAAATCAAGGTCAAGATCTAGCAGAAGTCGTAGTAGATCTCGCAGTCGCAGTCGTTCTCGAAGACCAGAACGTAAACACCGATCAAGAACACCACGACGATCACGTTCACGAGAAAGGCGACATGAACGACGTCGTTCGGTGTCATCAGATTATGATGCGAGAAGACGATCTCGTCGCTCTGAGTCAATCGAAAGAAGACGTGAGGAACGTAAGAGACGTCATGCAGAACGTGATGAAAGGGAAAAATCAAAACGATCCAGACGAGATGAAGATGATTCGTTCAAGACAAATAAAGTATCTGCTGAAATGGAAAAAGATAAAGAGAATGATAATGCCACGGTAACTGATCCCAAGGCCAAGATTACAGAACGTCAAAGGAAAACTGTAGACATACTTACATCACGTACCGGTGGAGCCTATATACCACCAGCTAAGTTGCGTATGATGCAAGCAGAAATTACGGACAAAGCATCGGCTGCATATCAACGTATTGCTTGGGAAGCTCTTAAGAAATCCATACATGGTTACATTAATAAAGTCAATGTGGATAATATTGCAATTATTACCCGAGAACTGCTAAAGGAAAATATAGTACGTGGTAGAGGCTTGCTTTGCCGTTCCATAATACAGGCTCAAGCTGCATCGCCGACATTTACCCATGTTTATGCCGCCTTGGTGGCTATTATTAATTCGAAATTTCCCAATATTGGAGAATTGCTGTTGAAACGTTTGGTAATACAATTTAAACGAGCCTTTCGACGTAACGATAAGACTGTGTGTTTGTCATCTTCACGTTTCATAGCCCACTTGGTCAATCAAAGGGTGGCCCATGAAATCTTGGCCTTGGAAATTCTAACGCTTTTGGTTGAATCGCCGACAGACGATAGTGTTGAAGTGGCCATAGCATTTCTTAAGGAATGTGGTATGAAGTTGACAGAGGTCTCATCGAAGGGCATTGGAGCCATTTTTGAAATGCTCAAAAATATCTTGCATGAGGGCAAGTTAGATAAACGTGTGCAGTATATGATTGAAGTTGTTTTCCAAGTACGCAAAGATGGTTTTAAGGATCATCAATCGGTCATAGAGTCCTTGGAATTGGTAGAAGAGGATGATCAATTTACACATTTACTAATGTTGGATGATGCCACATCCCCAGAAGATGTACTGAGTAAGTTTCCATGCAATTTATAAAAAAAGGTGTTATTTATTGATAAATCTTTTTCCTTTTTAGATGCTTTTAAATTTGATGAACAATACGAGGCCAATGAAGAGAAATACAAAGGACTTAGTAAGGAGATTTTGGGGAGTGATGCCTCAGATTCGGATGGTTCCTCTGGTTCGGGTAGTGATTCCGACTCTGAATCATCTGACTCGGATGAGGACAAAAATGAGGGGGATGAGAAACCCACAGCTGGCGATATTATTGATAATACGGAAACCAATCTGATTGCGTTAAGGCGAACCATATATCTGACCATTAACTCCAGTTTGGATTATGAGGAGTGCGCCCATAAGCTTATGAAAATGCAATTGAAACCCGGCCAAGAAATAGAGCTTTGCCATATGTTTTTAGATTGCTGCGCTGAACAACGAACTTATGAGAAGTTCTATGGTCTGTTGGCTCAGAGATTTTGTAACATCAACAAATCGTATATAGAACCGTTTGAGGAAATCTTCAAGGATACCTATCAGACCACACATCGTTTGGATACAAATCGTTTGCGAAATGTAAGCAAATTCTTTGCTCATTTGTTGTTTACCGATGCCATAAGTTGGGATGTTTTGGACTGCATAAAGCTGAATGAAGACGACACAACATCATCAAGTCGTATTTTCATAAAAATTCTTTTTCAAGAGTTGGCCGAGTACATGGGTCTGGGCCAATTGAATAAAAAACTTAAGGATGAAGTTTTAGCAGAGAGTTTGGCCGGGCTTTTTCCCAAAGATAATCCCAGAAATACACGATTTTCCATTAACTTTTTCACATCCATTGGTTTGGGTGGCCTAACTGATGAATTGCGTCAATTCCTAAAGAATGCCCCGAAATCTGTACCCGCCATAAATGCTGAAATTCTGGCCAATAAACCTGTAGATGTCTCAAATTCGTCGTCGTCCTCCTCATCATCATCATCTTCAACCTCGTCTTCATCATCATCAAGTTCTTCATCTTCGGAATCGTCTGCATCATCATCTTCTAGTGATTCGTCATCGGATTCTTCAAGTGATTCAGAAGTGGATAAGAAAAAACGTAAAGGCAAGGTTAAGAAGACTAAAAAGAAGAAAACTTCAAATAAAAAGGAGAAAACTAAAAAATCGAAAAATAAAAATAAAAAAGACACCAAGAAAAAGACCAAGAAGCGAAAGTCCAAAAAAGGCACCACTTCTTCTGAAGATGATTCTTCGAAAAGCGAAAGTAGTAGCAGTGAATCAAAATCTTCAGACAGTTCGGACTCGGAGCAAAGTGGAAATGATAAATCGAAGAAGAAGACTAAATCGAAATCAAAAACAAAACCGAATAAGAAGTCCAAACGATCTGACTCAGAAGACGTTGAAAATGAACGAGATATTAAACGTAAGAAAAGGGAAGATTTCGGAAATTACATTCATGAAGATAGAAGAAGAGACGAGGAATATTCAAAGAATGGTGGAAGAGATCGCAAAAAGGATAATCACGGTAATAATAAGGAGAAACGGGAAATACCACAACGTCGCGATAGCGAAATTGAAAGGCGTCGAGAGGAGCGCGAAAAACGCCATCGTGAAAGAGAAAGAAATCTCTCACGTTCCAGATCAAGATCTCGCGGCGGTAGCGGTCGAAAAGATCGTGATCGCCGGGAAACAAATGGACGCAGTGAGCGAAAAGATCGCGAACGTGATAGAGACTCAGATCACCGGCGTTATCGCAAAGACTATGATCGCAGTCGAAGCCGCGATCGAAATGAGAAACATGAACGTGAATATTCACGTTCTAAATTACGAAATACTTCTAAGGAACGTGGATAAATGGAAAGACTAAAGTAATAAAAGTTACAATTTTTTATTTTATTTTTTGTAAAATATTCATTTATCATTATAATATAAATAATACTACTATGTGTGCAAATATTTGTACAAACTATTAGTTTATAATAAAAAAAGAAAAAACTATAAAAACATGTGGTGTTAAGAAACTTTGAAATTAAAAAAAAATATTTTCTACTAATGGCCATGATGCAAAATACATTTTTCGATAAAAATAACCACAAGGAATGAGACGCGAGACATGAAATAACGGATTTAGGGTTCAGCGTGTCATTTACCCTACACATACGGACGCAAACTTATCTTTTTAAACCCTACACCACATAATGGTAAGGGTATTATGTCCTTGTGCATTTGTTTGTACCATGGAGAAGGAAGCGAGATAGACACATAGTTACTTTTGAGTATATTTACATGATCACTTTCTGAATCGATTTATTTATGTCAGTCCGTCTGTTCGTCCGTCAGTATGTCCATGTATTCTTGTGAACAAAATGCAGGTCACATTTATTATCCGATTGAGATGAAATTTTCCAAACAATATTTGTTTGACTCAAGGACGAACCCTATTGAAATTGATGATAATCGGATCAGAGTTAGATATAGCTCTCATATATATCTTCAACCGATTAATTGTGCACCAAATGGCCAATATCAGTCCAAATAACCTGCATTTTTGGCACATCGGACCGAATTCAACCTAAAAGCAAGTACATCAAATTTGGTGAAAATCGGTTCAGATATAGCTATAGCTCCCATATATGTATGTCTCATCCGATTTGGTGTTTAAGTTCAACACATTTGACAGAAAGAAAGAAAGAAATTTGGTACCATATATGCTATTGAGCTGGGAAATACCTTTGCCAAATTTTATCAAGATCTGATCAGATTTGGATATAGCTCCCGTGCATATATTTTTTCAATTTCGGGTTAATTGTGCACCAAATGGCTAATATCAGCTATATAAAAGCAAGAGCACATTCGGACAGCGTGTGACGCTGATGGCCTTTGTAGCTAGTGCTCCTGCACTCCATGTAATCATTGTTATAGTTAATATAAGTATAATTGTAAATAAATAAAAAAAATAATTTCATAAGATCATCCTTCCAAAGATATATCCTTTACGTATTTTAGTTGCTACAACAACTATTTATTGAAAATTGACCCATTTACACACGCCATTTGTGAAAAAGCGTTTTATTGGACTTCGTGTCTTTTCAATGAAACATAAAAAAACATATTCGAAATTATACCAATACAAAATATTTGGAATAAAAATAGTAAAAATGTACATATGCATATTTAGTGTAATAAAATGTTTGCAATTCCAGTTGCTGTTAGAGAATAACCAACAAATTTAATTAATACATCAACCGCGTTCTGGTTCTCCCAATCTGTTAAGATGAAAATCTCAATTACTTGCAGTTTTAAATTACAAATGCAAAAAGAAATACTTACCGTAATATCTTTATAAAGTCTTCGGACATCAATGCCATATCCTGAGGCGTTAAGAAAGAATACTGTCGAAGTGGACGTTTACGCCCTTCATCGATGAGCAGACGTGTCATGTACTCTCGGTTCACTTCATCCTAATATAAACACGATCGTATTTAGAAACAAGAATATGGGATCGGATGCCTTTATGCTCACCGTAAAAACATCGTACTCATCCAAGAAATAAAAAGGATGATCAACACATGACCATAAAGAGATGAGAAAAGCTACAGTGCTATATGACCGTTCTCCTCCAGACAAAGATTTCGTATCGGAAACTGCATTTTTATTATGATCGCGTGGTATCATGAAGATAGAAGAAGAGACGAGGAATATTCAAAGAATGGTGGAAGAGATCGCAAAAAGGATAATCACGGTAATAATAAGGAGAAACGGGAAATACCACAACGTCGCGATAGCGAAATTGAAAGGCGTCGAGAGGAGCGCGAAAAACGCCATCGTGAAAGAGAAAGAAATCTCTCACGTTCCAGATCAAGATCTCGCGGCGGTAGCGGTCGAAAAGATCGTGATCGCCGGGAAACAAATGGACGCAGTGAGCGAAAAGATCGCGAACGTGATAGAGACTCAGATCACCGGCGTTATCGCAAAGACTATGATCGCAGTCGAAGCTGCGATCGAAATGAGAAACATGAACGTGAATATTCACGTTCTAAATTACGAAATACTTCTAAGGAACGTGGATAAATGGAAAGACTAAAGTAATAAAAGTTACAATTTTTTATTTTATTTATTTTTTTTTTTTTGTAAAATATTCATTTATCATTATAATATAAATAATACTACTATGTGTGCAAATATTTGTACAAACTATTAGTTTATAATAAAAAAAGAAAAAACTATAAAAACATGTGGTGTTAAGAAACTTTGAAATTAAAAAAAATATTTTCTACTAATGGCCATGACGCAAAATACATCCTTCGATAAAAATAACGGCAAGGAATGAGACGCGAGACATGAAATAACGGATTTAGGGTTCAGCGTGTCATTTACCCTACACATATGGACGCAAACTTATATTTTTAAACCCTACACCACATAATGGTAAGGGTATTATGTCCTTGTGCATTTGTTTTTAAAATGGAGAAGGAAGCGAGATAGACACATAGTTACTTTTGAGTATATTTACATGATCACTTTCTGAATCGATTTATTTATGTCAGTCCGTCTGTTCGTCCGTCAGTATGTCCATGTATTCTTGTGAACAAAATGCAGGTCACATTTATTATCCGATTGAGATGAAATTTTCCAAACAATATTTGTTTAACTCAAGGACGAACCCTATTGAAATTGGTGATAATCGGATCAGAGTTAGATATAGCTCTCATATATATCTTCAACCGATTTCGGGTTAATTGTGCACCAAATGGCCAATATCAGTCCAAATAACCTGCATTTTTGGCCGAATTCAACCTAAAAGCAAGTACATCAAATTTGGTGAAAATCGGTTCAGATATAGCTATAGCTCCCATATATCTATGTCTCATCCGATTTGGTGTTTAAGTTCAACACATTCGTAATATGCATTTGACAGCAAAGAAATTTGGTACCATATATGCTATTGAGCTGGGAAATGCCTTTGCCAAATTTTATCAAGATCTGATCAGATTTGGATATAGCTCCCGTGCATATATTTTTTCTATTTCGGGTTAATTGTGCACCAAATGCCTAATAGTTCAGATATAGCTATAGTTCCCATATATATTTTTCATCCGATTTGGTGTTTACTCGGCTCCGATATATATTTTTTTATATAATCCTTCTCGAAGTGATATCATGCACTCTATAGCAATCTTGTTTGGTATAAACGATTAAAATGTCTCCGTCAAATTTAGTGAAAATCGATGCAAAGTTGTATATGCTTCCCATACATTAGTTCCCTCTGAAACCAAACTACAAGTGTTCTAAAGCCAAATGTTGATAGGTGGTAAGATCTACTTTAAAAAAATTCTTTTGTTACGGAAGCTCTACTAAATGAGCATAGTGGTGTAGGGTATCATATATACTCGGCCCCGGCAGATTTTTGACTTTTCCTTACTGGTTTTTAGAAATTCAAGCTTTAAGGTCACGAAAAGTTCTAAGATGGTACTAAACTTCTAAAATGAAAAAAAAAGAAAGAAAGAAAAATAAAATTCTGAACTTTGATATTTAGACTACTGGTGGTATCTATGTTTGAGATTTAGCGGTGGTTTTGGAAATGTATACTAAAATTTTATGACAACTACAAAATAGTATTAAATCTTACTTAAGCCAGACAGGAAAGCGTTTTATGTATTCTCACCTTTAAGCCAGAGGAAAAAGCCTTTTATGTATTCTCTCTTTTAAGCCAGTCAAAAAAGCCTTTTATGTTCTCTCACCTTTAAGTCATTGGCTGGTCTTATCGTAAAAGAACAAACCAATAAATTCTTGCAGGTTCTGAAACAGACCAATTATGGTAAATGTACTTCTTTGTTCATAGTTTGATTATGGTCCTACACTTCTTTGTTCTTCTCCGAAAAAGCAAGCCCATAACTTACGCCAGTCAAAAAAACATTTTATGTATTCTCACCTTTATCGTTGTATGTATTCGCGGCGTTGAGGCGGCTTTATCGACACTGAAATACTATATACTGGAGAAATTCAGAGTCGACAAAGCAGTTTCCATGTTTTTTCGTGACACACGTTATCGACAAAACAACAACTACAAAGAAAAGGTTCGTGCCAAGGTAAATTTAACAGGTAAACGCATCGGCAAATTAATATCCCAGCAAATTTTGGTAACTGTTACACCGACTCCAGCAGATGGCACAAGAGTAGCAAGTGTTCCTGATGAAATAGTTTTAAAGAAAGAACATAGCACCAATATCGCCACCAGTAAAAGCCCTTTAAGAATGCCCAGCAATCAAGCTATTAGCCACTTGGTGGATACCAAACCTCTCTTGATAGCAGAGCCGATGCAAATTCCCCAAACCATACAAAGAGTTTTCACAGACCACAGAAGGCTGGTGCAGCTGCGGCTAGTTTCGCCGCGAAAGGGTCAAAATACCGCAGAGCACATTCGGGCAGTGTGTGACGGTTTCATTGGCCGTTTGAAAGCCATAATTCGTGTCAAAGGTGACCAATTCGAACAAATCTAAACTTATTCTAAAATTTGATGCTATTTCCGACTTTTTTTGCTTTCATTTAATAAAATTAAAAAAGTGTAAAAAACTATTGCGTTTGACTTTGTTGCAGTTTTTTTTTTAACTCACCCTGTATGAGTTATCGTTAATTTTTAACAAGCATGAGCTGATGGCCTTTGTAGCTAGTGCTCCTGCACTCCGTGTAATCATCGTTAATTATAGTTATAGTCAATATAAGTATAATTGTAAATAAATAAAAAAATAATTTCATAAGATCATCCTTCCAAAGATATATCCTTTACGTATTTTAGTTGCTACAACAACTATTTATTGAAAATTGACCCATTTACACACGCCATTTGTGAAAAAGCGTTTTATTGGACTTCGTGTCTTTTCAATGAAACATAAAAAAAACATATTCAAAATTATACCAATACAAAATATTTGGAATGAAAATAGTAAAAATGTACATATGCATATTTAGTGTAATAAAATGTTTGCAATTCCAGTTGCTGTTAGAGAATAACCAACAAATTTAATTAATACATCAACCGCGTTCTGGTTCTCCCAATCTGTTAAGATGAAAATCTCAATTACTTGCAGTTTTAAATTACAAATACAAAAAGAAATACTTACCGTAATATCTTTATAAAGTCTTCGGACATCAATGCCATATCCTGAGGCGTTAAGAAAGAATACTGTCGAAGTGGACGTTTACGCCCTTCATCGATGAGCAGACGTGTCATGTACTCTCGGTTCACTTCATCCTAATATAAACGATCGTATTTAGAAACAAGAATATGAGATCGGATGCCTTTATGCTCACCGTAAAAACATCGTACTCATCCAAGAAATAAAAAGGATGATCAACACATGACCATAAAGATATGAGAAAAGCTACAGTGCTATATGACCGTTCTCCTCCAGACAAAGATTTCGTATCGGAAACTGCATTTTTATTATGATCGCGTGGTATAACCGAAAGCTTCAATGTTTTCTGCTGGTGATTGACATCCAATGAACCTTCAAAGTTGCGCAATCGCAGAATCATCTAATAATAAGAGAAAACATATTAAAATCTCCAAGTCATAGCTCTAATTTTTATGATAATTACGCTAAACGATAATTGCAAAAGCAATGCCATGTGCTCCTTCAGTTTCTTCAAAAAGTCGAAACGAAATCTTAAAGATTTTCTTAGCTGTGTGAAGAGTAGATATTTTAAAGCCAGTGTAAAAGCCAGTAAAAGGTTATTAGTCACTTACCGAATAAATGGAGTGCTTTATGTTCTCATATTTGCCTTCATTGGCCAGTAATGCCTCTTTCTTTGTCATAATTAGCTGTCGCATGGACTGTGGGTCCAAGCTCACTGGCTTACCATGTTTAATTTTTGCCTTTACTTTTGATATCTCGTCTTGGAGTTGATCTCCGCTTAGGTCGCTTTCAATTCTTTCACCTTTTTCTGCAGCAGCTTTTGTACAAGCATCGACTTTTCTTGACATTTCTTTATGATCTGCTTTCAATTTATTTATGACGTCTTGCACTTCCGACAATTTGACGCGATACGAAGAATCGTTGTTGTTAACACTACGAAGTTTCATTTTCTTTCGATCTACGGTAGACTGAACATTTGTTTATAACTAACGATTGCTTCTTATAATATGTTAATATGTTTTCAAAATTAACGTATTGAATGTTGTTAGAAAGTTAACAAACCTTGAAAGCCTCTATGTCATTTTTTATTTCCTGAAGTTCATTTTCTTTGGACTGCAGCTCCGCTCCAACTTGAATTTTTTCATTTTCGACATCCGATAATTGACCTCTCGTTTCACTTATTTTTTGTTCAATTTGTGCCAGGTGAGTTTCATAATCACCCATTTCTTTTTCCTTTTTTAAACAAACGTGCCATTAAAAAGTTTATTTATGCTAATCGTTTTTATTCTTACCAACAGCTGAATTTCGTTACTATAATCAGCATATTCTATATTGTCCAGTTCGGCTATTTTTTCCATAATCTCTCGGCGGGTATTTTCTTGTTTTATTAAAAGTTCTCGTTGCTCTTGTATAAGTTTAGTAACTTGAGGTATTTGATTGCTCATTTGACTCAGATCGGTTTCATATGATTTATTCTTTAGCTCTAGTGATTGCTTTTCATTTTCCAAGTGCCTAAAACCAACATTATTTTTATGTTTCAATTAAAAACAAAACAAAAACGACATACCTAATACGTTCTTCGATATTAACTTGTATGTAATTGGCTGGTCTTACTTTACTTGAATACATTCGATACTTCGGCTTAGGATAATATTCCATACAAATGTTGCCTTCTTTGAGAACTAAGACTCTCGATAGATTTTTGGGAACATTTTCAATGTACGAAGTAATTGTTTCGGCAATTTCTTTACTATTTGTAAGCAAAATAGATTCAATGCCAAGACGGTCAATAAGGCAGTTCATTACAGTTGCATCAGAACATCTGATTTCGTGAAGAAGCAAATGTGTGCCTTTCGGTGGGTTTACACACCCACCACTAACATCATAGACCTTTCAAGAAACTAGCTGGTAAATTTTGATGAAAAAATTGCAATACCAAAAATGTTTACCTTGTCGGAAAATGCTGCAGTTATTATAATAGGGCGACAATTTTCATATTTAGTAAACATTTTTTCCAAGATTTGTCTATCTTTTGTATTGTTTACTATAAATGCTTCCAGCAATCCACGGCCGATGGAGTTTTCAATAACATCTCGGTATTGGCTGTTGGCCACATCTACATAACTGCCAATAGGTCCCCTTGGTAACTTAGAAAAAAGGCCTTGTGAATGTGCTTTTCGAATGTCTGTCAAAAGCTCGGGCATATGATTTCCGTATATTAATATCTTGTTTTTGGCACTGGCTTTTACATTGGCTATCTGTCCACTTCGTAGACCTGAAATGGGAACAAAGGTTAAGGCAAATCGTAGTTTCAAATTCATTTTTGGCAACTTACGTATTTCGTCTAAGCACTCCCTTTGTCGGCGTTTAATTTCATTTACTACTTGTTCTTTTTGTGCCTTGCTATCAATATGGAGTTTAAGTTCGCGCTTAATATTTTCAATCATTGGAACTACATGACTATCACATTGCTGGCGAAGTTTTAAAATTTCATTTTGGTTTTGAGCACGTAAAGTTTCTACATCATCTTGATTGCTAAAAAAATATGAGTCTTGAAATTATTTCCTTTGATTTCTTATAAATTAGTCAGTCATTATAAATTTAGCGGACAAAGAAAAACGTGCTATAAAATGACAATTGGCACATCTTTTATATGAACTTGCTTCAGCGGTTATGTAACTTACCCTTGAGATTTTTCATCGATATATTTCTTAATTTCTTCAATTTGATGCTCCAACCTAGATTTTTTCTTTTTTAATATGTCTAGGGAGTTTTTAAACTCGGATGTTAGCCTGTTTATCTCATCATCTTTATTCTTTAACTCCCTGTACTCCCTGTTGACTTTATCAAAATTACTGTTTTTCAAAGTCATTCCTTCTTCATCTTTTCTATAATATAAATTACAGCCTCCAAAAAAATATTTATTACCGTCAATTAATTGCAAGTTATTATTTACCTGATTTCTTGACTTAATATTTGGTAAACTTCATCTTTGTTCTGTATTAGATTTTTTAGTTCACGCTCCTTTTCGTCGTATTTTGCAAATTTATCGCTTATTTCTTGAAGTTGATTCTCACATTGCTTAACTTGTTGCCATGCAAGCTCGATTTCCAAGCGTTTAAGAACATCCTTAAATAGGGATCTTTTCTACTTATTGAACACAAAAATACTCTATTTCTATAATTACCTTTAGTTTTTCAAATGATAAAAGCTCTTTCAGTTTATTTTCATGTTCGGCTATATCTTCCTTTTCTTTTTTTAATCTCTGAAAGGATGGAATATATAAATAGGACTCTTTGTTAAACATCATTAATAAGAAACCATATTGTGATGTGTTATGTTTAGAGTATACTTAAAATCAAGAAAATTCACGAAAAGCCCTTTAAAATAATGTAATATTCTATTCCAATAAAACTTCAAGTAGTAGATTTCGGGTTGAGTTTGGATTTTAACCCCAAAACACATTTATATGATATCTAATTTTTGCCTAGTTTATATTTGTTAGATAAATTATGATAGTCTATGGGGAATGTACTTACAATTTCATAATTTTTTAATTCCTCCATGTGATCTTTGTGTAAATGAAGGGAATCGGTTAGTTTTTCATGAACGACATCAATTTGTGTCGCTTTTAGAAAAAGCTGATAATTTTTTGAAGGTTCCAATCTGAAATATACGATACTCGAATTAAATTACTTTTAAATGTAATCAATTTGAAACATACTCCTTTAAAAATTCTCTAGCGCTGTCCTGGTTTAGTACAAACACCGGATTATCCACTTGCACATTATGATACATAAGAATTCTGTGCAAATCATCGACTTTCTTACTTACAACCTGTCCCGATTCACTCTTTATTACATACGAGCCGGATGATAATGAAATAGTTCTTACTATGATAATCTTGTCACCATATATGTCGGGCTCATACGGCTGGGCACCATCATTCGCCAAAACTATTTCAATTTTTGCGCTGGTTTCCCCATTCTTTATAAAAGCTGGTGATTGAAGAGGTGGTAAGTAATAGCTGTTGGTTTAACTTTTTTATACAAACCTTTTGCACTTCGAGACCTGTTGGTCGTTTTGGCACTTCCTCCCAAGCCCAACACCAAAGCAGCAAGTATAGCACTTTTGCCACTTCCATTGCTCCCCACCAAAAAATTTACTCGAGAATGAAATTCAACGGTTAGATTAGAGTGGCACATAAAGTTTGTTAGATGCATCAACAATATCTTTCCACATCGCTTATCCTGGATTATACTAGTGTTGGCTCCTTGAGATTGTATCTAGAATATTTTGGATAAGTTTCGTTAATCTTGTTCTTTTATGAATAGATTTATTCATCTCACAGAAGTGTTTTGCGTTAATCGTCGTTTGGTAGGCGCTGTTTGGGAATCATTTGCACCACCGCCGGAATTACGCCGCTTGCGAACCAAGCTTAAACTCATCTCGACTATTTAAAGTGATACAAGTTGTCTTTGGTGCCCATATGATGCCTTTAATATTATTTTTGCTTTTTTTAAAAACTTAACAAATATTCAAGAATTAATGCGCCTTCTTATTCGACTTCACAGGTAGACGCCAAAACAGAATAAGAAAACAGAGAGTAAAAGTCAGAAATGAAAACACAAACAAAAATGCAATCAAGGTAGATTTAACAGGTAACCGCATCGGCGAATTGCTACAACAAAGCAACTTTTGTGGTACCCTCAAATGTCAAAATTGGCATATAAGGCGAAAAAAATACATTCGCCATGACATTTAAATTTTGCGACAAATTTGTTTCAACCAATCAGAAACGAGGCCTTTGTTTACATTTTATGTTGTGTGTGGAAATTAAGCCAAGTAATTACGACTCTCGGGGATCATTGCAACGGCCCAAGTTGATAGTTATCTCCCGAAATGTTTATACCAGCCCACAACTGTAATATCTTCTATGCCATCGAAAAATACCACGTATATTCCAGCAAATTTTGGTAACCGGAGGTTACACCGACTCCAGCACATGGCACAACAGTAACAAGTGTTCCTGATGAAATGGTTTTAAAGAAAGAACATAGAACCAATATCGCCATCAGTAAAAGCCCTCTAAGAATGCCCAGCAATCAAGCAAGTAACCACTTGGTGGATACCAAATCTCTCTTGATAGCAGAGCCGATGCAAATTCCCCAAACCATACAAAGAATTTTCACAGACCACAGAAGGCTGGTGGAGCTGCGGCTAGTGTAAGTTTGTGAAAAGTTCGAGCAGAAAAGTAAAATGGCTATACAACAGAGTCAGGCCGTAAAGGGGTTGCATGGACCCATACAATGCTGCAAGTCTTCGTGGCAGCGACTTGGATGCCATCAAAGATTTGCTAAATGAAGGAACCTTTGATTACAGTGATTCTGGAATACAGCTCCAAGCCATGGAAAATTCTCACATTTCATTGGTTTTCCTAACATTGCGGTCGGATGGCTTAGACAAAATCAAATTTTAATTTTTTTACTGGTAATTCACTCTAAAGTTGCTCTTAAATTTTGAAATATTAGAAAAACATACTTCTAGTGAAGACAACATAAACAAACTTTGTTTTTGTGTTGCATTCATTTAGGGCGAATTCAGCATTACAACAACTTGTTTTGATATTTAAAGGTGCCGTCAGCTGGGGTAATGCGACTACGTAGTAGACATGGTAGAAAAATACAGGTAGATGCATCAACGCTTGGGAACATTGATATGTCAAAATATTTTAAATGTCTTTTCAAATATAAGTAGATTTTTATATGTTTTCTCATACGACGTCATTCGGAGGTTATTATAATACGCGTTTTTCAACGTTTTTTACAAATTGAAATAATTTTTCATTCAACTTTTTCAATTCCAAAATTGGCTTGACAGTTCATTGTCCCAGCAGCTGAGTCGATGCGTCTACCCATATTCTTCTACCATGCTAGTAGATCTACCTTAGTTCGTGCTTTGTTCCAGCACCTGCAAGAGAGTAAAAGGAACAGCAGTGCGATTCCCTAACTAGTTAACGCTCATTTTTAATAGCTTATTTTTCAGTAATAATCTAAATTTGTCAGTAAGACAGCGATGAAAATAAAATAGTCCCAAAAGGCGAGAGAACATAAAAGGCTTCTTCGTATAAGAACAAAGGATTTTAGGCTGACTTAGATCGATTTTGGCCCTACGCTCCGTTTAATGTATTATCACCTTAAGACTTAACGAAAGAAAGTATTGGTCTATTCCAGAATATCAATAATGTAAACATTTTTACTGATTTTCCCTTTATGAAATAAAAAAAATTGAAAAACTATAACGACCAAAAAAGCTGGAGAGTCTCACTACAGAATCATACACGTGTATTTAACGTTAATATCGATACTTAATTTTAATATCGATATAAAGATGCAAGCAAAAGAGATGACATTAAAATGAATTTTGTTTTACAACATTAAGAACCATTTCGTATAGCCTCCATGAAATCGTTTATACTCAACTTGTTGTTATTATCACCTTCACATTTGCTAATTGCCACATTCCAAATATCCTCAAAATTATCTTTTAATAAATTGCAAAATATCTTGGGAAGTTCTTCTTTGGATCGAGAGATTTCAAAATCTTCATTACTAAGGCCCGAGTGAACAACTATGCTCGGTGATATACAATCGGCAGCTGTTGTAGAGTCTTTACAACGTTTCGCTAAGATAGTGCTGGGCAATGTCTTCTCACGATCTCGACAAAATGATCGATATACCGTGATATTATTGTTGGAAGTCGTAGGATTCTCAAACTTGTTACTGGCAATCGTTGGTAAGGGATATTGAACGTGTAGCATTTTCCAAAATAAATCCAGATTAACACGTTCCGCATCTTCAATAATTTGAAAATGTAACATTGCTCGACGTAGTAAAGTTTCATCAGCTCGAATTTGTAAAGATCGCATAACTCGATATATTGTTGAGAGCTCCAAAAATCCTCGCTTATTTTTGTCATATTTTTCCAATACAACTTTTAAATCATGTATATGAAAATGTTTATGGTTGGCCAATTTTCGCCGCAACTGTTTTACATATCCAATTGCTTCTACTGTGGTATTTTTCTCTGACGAATGTTCTGAGTTTTCAAATAATGCACGAATATTACTGCTATCGCTATTAAATTTACTTTCTACGTATTCTGTGCTGCGCTGGACGCCTTCTCCGCTAGAACTTGAAAGGAATAGATATATTTTGTATTACATAGAATTATAGACAATTAATTCTTTAATTTACCTCTTCAGTCGACTACCCAGTTGTCCTACAGTGCGATCAATAAATCTTTTCTGGGCGCCATTGATTAAAACGAAACCACTCGGCTGTTGCAGGCATTCTCGAACCATTCGCCCGGAGGTATCGGTTTTCTTGCAAATGCCAAAAGTTTTGTTTGGGTTAAATTTATCATTGTAGCTATAAAAAGCATAATTAATAAAAATAACAAAAAATAAATAACAAAAATAAAAAAAAAATAATATATCAGTATATCAGTAAAAATTACGACTTTTTACTTTCTTCGAATTCTTTCTGCGGGAAAATAATGATCATGCGATTTAATGTATTTCTCATGCCAATCTCTATATTCGCGATTTATTTCCTCCGCCGATTTCTTTGGCAATATCAATTCATATAAATTTCCCGATCTTAAACTCTCTTTGCCATAGGTGAAGTTTTCATTTGTAAATCTATCGGGTTTTGTCTGTAACGGATACACTTTTCCTAATTTGGGCTTCTTAAAAAACATATCTTCGGAAAATTGTTCACGAAATGTGACAAAGTGACTTTTCTTCAATTCAGGGCTCAGTAGATCATGGACATGTTCTTCGGGTAGCACCGGGGAGGCATTTAATTGGGCAACATTTTCTCTAGCTTTTTGAATTTCCATACGACATTTAGCTTTTAAAATATATTCGGCAGCTTCTTCTAAACCATCTCCTATTCTATCGTTTGTTCCCTGGAAAGGTTCTCCTTTCTGTGGAGGGGATTTTTTAGTTTCCATTATTAGTAGGATAAATTGAAAATTTCAGACAAATAAAAAAATCAATTTAAAACAGTGGAACCAAGACTTGTTAATCGAATTTTTCAAAAAAATTTTTAAATTTTCCTATTTTTAAATGTGATAATTTATTTTTTCGATAAATGCTCTCATTTGTTAGGGATGGGACACATTTTTGTGTGAAGAATTAAGTAGTTTTTTCATAGTTAAGGGTCAAACAACGAATAGAGAGCGAATCAAGTGCAGTGGAAACGCCACATTAGCCCTGATTTTAATAAGGTGAGTTTACTTGCAGTAATACAAACAAACGATATAAATCGACGCACATTTCTTTATTCTTGGATGTTTTGAAACCGAGCATATGTGGGTGGAAACATATGTTCGCTAGTGTATACCTTACTTTATAAATAAAAAAGTTCCCCCTTATCGATTTGTAATTTCGATTTTCCTACTCACAATGACTACGTATCGATTAGTCCGAACTTGACTTACACATCCCTACGTCATACTCATACATCAAAATTGCAAGTTTTTTTGTAGGAGCCAAAAAAACAAGGAAAATTCCAGCAGAATTTTTTTACATCTGTGGAATATAACATATAATTTGTAATTGGCAATTGAATAATATAGAAAAAAAGTACCGCAAGTGATAAAGCAATAACAATTCTCTGAGAAGAAAAACAAACAAAGATTAATAAAACGCAAAAAGGTGAATAAATAAATTTTATGCATTATCATCACATAAGAAAAAGCAAACAGCAAGCAAAAAAAATTCGAGACAAGAGAAAGAAACATGGAAAAATTGTTCGTCGTGTTAAGATTTTTGTGAGAAAACAGGCGTAAAGCTAAACCCCATCGAGAGAAACCACCGTAGACTGGCAAGCAAATTAAATAAAAAAAAATAAATTTACCAAAAAAAAATAATTGTGAAACCACGTAAGGGATAATTAACAAGGAACTGGATGAGATGTTCTAAAACTCGTTTTCATATTTGTTAATTGCATTTAGTTGTAAATAAGTAAAAAAAACGTCTCAAGACGAATGAAAGTTTTTTTTTCTGTTTTTCTTTGGGTGCGTATATGTGAAAGAGACAACTGTAAAAGCTGAGGTGTTGATTAATGGAAAAAACAGTGCTGCCCAGTTTCCATTGTTTTGCAAGTGTCCGTCTTCTTTATTTGTGTTGTTGGTGGGTCAGTATTGTTTTTGATTTCGCTCTGATGGTTGGTAGATGAAACCAGAGAGAGAGGAAAAGTGCTTTGATTTTGTTATGTGAAAAATAAAAAATATTGATAGAAAAAAATCCAAACCCAAATCCCTTTATAAAGCTATAAATTCTTAAAAGAAATTGAGAAAAATGAAAGGTAAATTGAAAATACTGACAAGTGTTGTGGAAAAATCTAAGTTGGGGGCTTCCCAAGTGCTACCGTGCAATAATAAATATATCTAGAGTTTCTTTGTGTCTTGTGTGTTTGTATTTAATTCAATTTGTGACTTTGTACATTGGCCCAAGCTTTCGTGTAAACGACGTTGTAAATTATTTAGCAAATTGTCGTCATCGCAATATTATTTCTTTGTTCGTTTTGTTATGAGAAAAAATGACATTTTTTGTTTGTTATCGTCGTCGGTTTCCAGCCAGTACCAGGCAGTGGATTCATGTATATAGTATTTCTATAGTCTGATTGTCAGCCTGGTTGGTTGGCCCGTCGGTCGGTTCGTCGATGTGTATTGTTGCTGGTGCTGCTTATCTTTGCTGTTTCTTTTTTCATGCCAGCCTTCGTTTTCTCTATTGAATTTTTGTGATGTTATCTTCTCGTTTGTGCAGAATGGAAAAAATAATACAGATATACGAAAAAATGCTGCCAAATTCTTGCACTTGTTGCCGTTATACACTTTCATCACTTGTCACACATTTTTGTTATTATTTTCTTCTTGCGCTCTCAGCGACAGATTGTTCTCTCCCAAAAGGATGTTATCATACATCATCTATGCGTTTCTAAAAATGCATTTGAAAAAAAGTAGGTTAAAAAATATGGCACTGAGGAGTATGGATGCAATTGTTATCAAAGAATAAAAAAAAAATTAAAAATAGCAAACATGTTTCTTCGAATGTCATGAGGGGCGTTTATTGTTTGAAGGTTCAGCTGATAAAGAGGTAGTGGGATTAAGCATGTGTTTCAGAGAGCTTTTTTAGTAATGTTAATAATAATAAAAAACGACAATGGTAGGTAATTTAAGTAAAGTATTTGTATTATTTTAAATGGGACACAAACATAATTTTATATTAGGAACCTTTGATTTTAACCTAGATCTTGTTACTTTCACTGATAATTAGAACACCAGCCCGCGTTGTACACAATTTTTTTCTGGGAAATCCTTATTTCCCCCAATCATTTAATTGAAACCAACTGAACTGTCGGCAGTTAAGTATTTTTGGGCTTTATTCAGAACTTTCTTAGCCCCTTTTTAATGCGTTGGTGGCAAACTCTTCTAGGATTTTCAATTGATATTTTGTGTTTTAAGTCCAGAGGGGGCCTTATGCGTTATTCTTGTTGAAACTCAGTAAATCTGATATCATGTGAGTGAGAGAAGGGTGACTCTAGCATATTAAACTGTAAACATTGCTTTCGCAGTTCAATATCGTTGCTGTAACAAACTGTAGTAACGTCATAAGATAGGTACCTTTCTGGGACAGATTTTCCAAAATATCTGAAACACCATTTCCAGTGCCGCTTTAGTCTCTAATGATTCCACGGAGGAGTATTTATCGAACGTTCCCAATGTCACTCATTTCCCACACTGCCGACCTAGGGAAGACCATCCCAATATAAATAATTGCCTTTTCCTTTGTGTGTTTACTCCCAGGACATTGTCCCATGGACACAACCATTTGGCTGTACCAGTGCTCCGTTTAATAGATCTGAAATAATTGTAAGGAATCTGCCACTTATCAGCACCACTAAGTCTTCATTGATCACTATCAAACCCTGTCGTGTAGTATTGACTTAAATAAAGGGGTATCAAAAACCATTCTAGATACAAATCTTTCACCTCAGAACGTATACGCCAAAAGGCACATTGGTGACTCCAGTACCCCCTCTAAAATGGTTACTTTTCTGTAATGTTTTAATATATTTTACATGGAAAAGTTATTTTTTTTTTTGCTGATTTGCCCCTCAAAATGCATTTTTGTGTTCGTCCTCTTTACGCCGGTATAGGCATATAGCAAGTCATAAAAAACAAACAGGAACTAACTTTACAATTTGTCATGGCAGGCATTTTTTTCTAAAAACTCAATTTGCGCTTCCCATTTGAAGGTTGTTTCTTATCAAAACGTATCTGTTAAAATTTAAATTGTTTAATTGTTGAATGATAAATTACTTTATATAGTATTTCTTGAAGCATTTGCTCTTTGTCTATCAAATGTAAGTTTTTAAACTTGATTATTGCAACTAGGCATCTTTAGTGAATGACATTACCATGGGGTCTCTCTCCAAACCCACTCTCATTGGCATTAATGCGATTTACTATTTTTCTCTCTGAGATCAAATAATTTATTGTCTTGCCCTCTCTTTCCACATTGACTTGTGCAGTTAGGTGATTTCGCCTTTTTCCCTCTGTTTATTTTATGAATTATTCTTGTTACTTTTGCTTCATTTCAAGCTTAATTTTTATTTGTTATTTCTCCTTTTTTCGATTTCAAGTAGAACAAAATAGATGACGCATCGTTTTGACGTTTTCAACTAATAAAAATCAAACACAAAAACACCACAGCACTATGGGTTTTTTTACGTTTATTTTGGCATAAACTCTAATTTCAAAGCTATTGAATTGAAATTTGGTTTGTATGCGTTTTTTATGCTTCCAAGATGAGCTACCAATTTTCATATGATTTGGGGCACTATTTCATATAGCTGCTATATAGCCGATCTGACCGATTTGACCCAACTTTTTTGTTTATGAAGCTATTGAAGTGAAATTTGGTTTGTATTAATTTTTTATACCCCAAAGATGACTTACGAATTTTCATATGATTTGGGGCACTATTTCATATAGCTGCTATATAGCCGATTTGGCCGATTTGACCGATTTGACCCAACTTTTTTGTTTATGAAGCTATTGAAGTGAAATTTGGTTTGTATTCATTTTTTAAGACCCCCCCTCCAAGATGACTTACGAATTTTCATATGATTTGGGGCACTATTTCTTATGTAGCTGCTGTATAGCCGGTCTGGCCTATTTGACCCAACTTTTTTATTTATGAAGCTGTTGAAGTGAAATTTGATTTGTATTCATTTTTATGCCCCCAAGATGACCTACGAATTTTCATATGATTTGGGGCACTATTTCATGTAGCTGCTATATAGCCGATCTGGCCGATCGGCTATGATGATTTGGAGAAACATACTGCTCATTCATTACAATAATTATACTTTTGCTAAGCCATTTTGAATGTTTAGTTTTAAATCGCTCTAGTTTACGGATGCACTTTGGCAAATGCTTTTTTATATAATTAACAAAATCTTTCACTTGTTTTGATATCAAACGCATTTGGTCTTCATTTAAACTGATATTATTGATATTCTGTAACACATATTTCACAAGTGCATCTTCTGAGCGATTGTTGCTTCTCCAAATTTCAATAAGCGCTGCATGGACGAACACATGTTTATCTGCAAAACACGTGTTGGCACAAAATAGAACAAAAAAGGCTAGTTACTCATTAATTAACACACTTTTGTTAATAACTTGGCATTTATACCTTTTTGCAATGCTTTGCCATTCACAAGTTACACTCCACGGAATACAACTACAATTTATAGATTTTATATAAAGCTATACATAAACGAAACAATTCACAGTATTACAACAACAGACAATTATGACAAAAAGGGCACCTCGTCTTAATTTTACATACCTGCACTAACGTTTTCCATAATTACACATTTTATTTTTTTTCAATTTTGTCAAATCAGAAGCACTTTAACTTAGCTGATCTTTACCGCCAGTTGTACCAAAACAAAGTGACTTTCAAACAGCTGACTTTAAAAGCTCGCCAGCAAAAAAGGGTTGCCACCCGTATTGATATTAAACATTTTTTTTTCTAATATGGGTATCTACATTTAGGAAATCAGTTAAATTTCAAAATATGAAACCAAAAAAAAAATGACTTTATGCCAAAAAATCATGCTTTTTACCCATAGTGCACAGTGGGAAAGAACAAAGCAATAACAATAATAGGGGGAGAGCAGTAGCAGCAGTCGTAGTCGTGTATATGTTTTTATCAGCTGTTTTGTGTTTCTTCTTTAACTTTTAACACGCATTTAATAATTTCTTTCGCCAAAGTGACAAATACTGCTGCTGGTAGACACAGACAGACCATCAGCAGCCCAATTGTTCAAAAAAGAAGATAAAACCAGAAAAACAAGTGGATTTTCCTTTAAAACGTCACGATTTTTTCAAAACAAAGTGAAAGTTTGATTTTTTGTGTGGATGTTTTTTGCCCTCGGGTTGCCGTTGACTAGTGAGTGAGTGTGTGTCTGTGTCTCCCCGTGCCATATTTAAATTGGATATTGTGTGATGTTTTGTTATTGTTGTTTGCTGCTGTAGGTGGTGTAGTGAGTGGTTGCATTTGTTGTTTTTATAATAAATTAAAGCGGTATGTTAAATCCCCTTCTTCGTTATTTTGAAGTGGGGAGGCAATTAATGTTA